TAACATGTAAATAATTTGTTTCGTTAAAATTTTCCTTTTAAAATAAATGTCATGGACGTTTTTACCTAGGAATATTAATGACATGGACATGATTTCCTAGGAAAATTGGTCTGGGAACAAACATTATATTAAAAATATTGATACACAACTCTTAAACAATAATATTTATATTTACCTTTTAAAATAAAGGGCATGGACGTTTTACCTAGGTATATTAATGACATGGACATGATTTCCAAGGAAAATTAGTCTGGGGACATAAATTTTATTAAAAATATAAATACACAATTATCTCTTAAATAATATTAAAACTTAATATTTAAATTTCCAATATTGTTTAAATGCAAATGATTTGACTCATTAATATTTTTTTTATAAAAAAAAAGGACATGGACGTTTTTACCTAGGAATATTAATGACATGGACTTGAATTCCTAGGAAAATTAGTCTGGGGACATAAATTACTAACATCGGACTAAAAATACTAGTAAATTCTGTAACCATGGACTTTTTATACTAGTAAATTCTATAACCATGGACTTTTATACTAGTAATATGTGTCCGCCCGGACATATTTTACCAGGACAAATTTATCTCTTACTTTCTGATTGGCTGAAAGTGTTCTGTCTATCAGCTCAAAGACATAATTTTGTCACGTAACCGTGACGTCAACAACGTTTTTATCATGATTTACGCCTTTTTAGAATTGAATTATAAGGAATGACTGTAATATTTTTTCGGTCTATTCGAAATAACCTAAAAAATGTGGTGCACACTTTTAAATAACGGTTACCCGCTACGCGGGTTATTCAGTGTGCAGCGCATTTTTTATGTTATTTCTTCATAGACAGAAAAAATATTACAGTCATTCCTTAAATAGAAGTAGAAACACTTATGCCAATTTCTATACTGTTTTAGAGTGGGACGTTTCTCAGATGTTTATAAAAATAAGGAGATGTGGTATGATTGCCAATGAGACAATTATCCATCAAAGTTCAAATGAAGTGGATGTAAACAAAAATAGGCCTTAAACAATGAGAAACAACCATACAGTATAGTCGGCTATAAAAGGCTCTGACATGTTTGTTTGGGATTGGTTTTTTTTTTGCAGTACGTCGTCAGGTAATTTAACTTTTTTCTGTACGTTTTTAAAAGAAATTAACTGCTATCAGCTATTCGTGAGTCTGACATTGTATAGACTTTTTGTTGACTTTCGAGTACTTGGCAGAAATCAACAAAGTGGAATTACTACTTGAATTCTTCATGACATTTTCTGGTGTTAAACAATCTGAATTAGTACATGATAACTTGACTTTCTCATCCGCTTGCCTGGCATCTAACCTACTAAATGTACCTGCTTGTCAAGTGTTTTCAAGGTAAAAAAAATATATTTCCATTCTCAATTTTATTATTTAATTTTACTTTATGCTATGTATCGATAAGTTAAGCTCTTTTTAACTGACTTTAATAGTTTTTCTTTTCCAGCTAACATGTTTAACCCCGCCACGTTCCGTATGTGCATGTCCCAAATCAGGAGCCCGTTATTCAGTGGTTGTTTGTTGTTGTACATAATGTTTGTTTTTCGTTTATTATTTTGTACATAAATCAGGCTGTTAGTTTTTCTAGTTTGAATTGTTTTACATTTTTCATTTCTGGGCACTTTAAAGCTTACTATGCGGTATTGGATTTGCTCATTGTTGATGGCGTATGGCGAAACTATAGCTGTTAACTTTTATGTCATTACGTCGTTTGGTCTCTGCTAGAGATTTGTCTCATTGGCATACACATCTTCTTATTTGTATATTCTATTCGTTAAAGACTATGCAAAAGAGATTGGCTGCCGGACTATATATAAAGCACAGAACTGTTCAAGTTTTAATTAGTTGCAGCCCTCAAGCTTCAATAATGTTATTGTCTATTGTATTGATTGTAGAGTGTCTGACATGAACGGCACCCAGATTCAATAGTACCCCATATCACCTTCCACATGTTCCATGTAACCTGAGATTACTATATCAGTGGTTATAGGAATCTCAGATGTAACCATTCAGTTTGAGAATTGACTTTGCAAGTGTTTGTGCACATAGCATAACTCATAATTGTTGTACATAAGGGAACTCACTGATGCACGGTAATCTGCAGATGAGCTAGATACATGTCATAAATCAGGTATCATTCTTTTGTCATGTGTTACATGCAGTTCTTTTCCAGTAGTTTGCAGGTACGTGGTTTAGACAGTGACAGTAATTCTGACGTAACAATACCTATCCAGGTAACCCTTTCAGTTTTGTTTTTTTTTTTTGTTTACAATATCTGTATCAAAAGTCAATCTATCGATCAAAATATAATACCTCTATAATTGAAAATGTATTATATCTTTTTATAGGTTCACTGTAAATGCATCATATACTTTGTAATTTTGTAAATGACTAGATTTTACCGAGACTTCGCATTCCATAGAATTTGAAAGGTATTAACAAATGTATGATGACATATACTTCTGCATAAATAAAGGGCATATATTTTGATTTTAACATTTTGATAGAATTTCAATTCAACCAAAATCATCAGATTATCTAAATTATCGATTGATATCAATTTACGTATGCATTATAATAATTATTAATAATAGTTTAATAGACGTTTTATATAATTATTATTTTTTATGTCTATTTTCACACTATGCAATGTGTATTGCCAGATTCGATAATTATAAGTTAACCTCGGTTAAAGAGTGATCAGCGTATCTAGTAATGAAAAGCCTCACCTACAGTGATGCCCGGGTGCTTAATCCTTGCTGAGACGTATAGTAATTTAATAATACTTCTAATAGTATGTAATATATGCTTCTGTTTTTAATCTATAAATCATGTTGTTTTCTTATTAAATTGAGTTACTTTCTCACCAGAAATTATGCTGGGAATTGCAAAAAATGTTTCTATATATAAATCTGCTGTTAACGGGATATCGTAAAGTATTCTACAGGTTTTCTGACTTCGTCCCCTTTCACAGGTAACACCTGCCTCATATTATTCTATGCTTCTCTGTTAACTTGTACTTAGTTTTCAGAGAAGTACCTTACATCTGAATCCGTTATTTTTCGGTTAAAAGCTCTCTCGAGCTTGTGTTGTACAGTTTTTATATACCGAATCAAAATAAAATTTTCTTATTCTCATCCGCTGATGAATTATTTGATTATATAGTGACTTGTGCATTTTAACCAAGAGAAAATTTATTTTACAAGGCGATAACTACTTAGAGACATTAGCATTGCCCTTACTTTTGAAAGAAAATGTAATATTTTTTTTTTAAATATTTCAATTTTTATTCATAATCAATTATGCATCCTAAATATATATATATATATATATATATATATATATATATATATATATATATATATATATATATATATATATATATATATATATATAAATACGCTCGCAAATGTTCTGCAAAACTCTGGGTTCATCGTAGTTTGAAATAAAAAGACAAATTTGTATCCAATTGAAATTCAAACAAAACAGGTACATTTATATTGTTCCTTATAAACTACGAGATTTCTCATAGACGTATTTACACTTGTATCGAATGTGTCCGCCATTACGTAAGAATACTAAGATCACACAAGTTACCGTAAAATTTGACATCACACTTCAAAAAATTTGACGTCAGAAGGTTATTCGAAGCAGATCTAAGGTCATTCGGAGACAGAATTCAGCTAAATACCAAAAGTGTGAACTACGTTTATTATTATTTAGTATTTTGTTCAAGCAACATCCCACCATTGTAACATTTCAACCGGCTTTTTAAAGCAAATAATGAAATATGCATTCAATTCATTTTATTTCCGTAGTAAGTTACTGTAAGTGTAAGCATGATAGTACTAGCTGCGGAACCGTAGCTCATCGGTCATATTTTTGTGAGTAGCAGGTGCCCAATCGCCAATGTCCCCTAAAATTTGGTGTGGGCTACTAAAATTTCTGTTTTTCTTGTATAGAACTATATATATTGGCTACCAAAATTTAAGCTGTGGGCTACCATGCAAAATTTTTTATTTCAATCCCTGATTTGCGGACCATAGAGGCAAATTCTCAAAAAATATCATAACTGATACAAGGACCTATGATCTACGGTTCCTCAGCTATGATAGTAGCTGCGGAACCGTAGCTCTTAGGTCCTTATGATATTTTTTGACAATTTGAGGAATCGTAGCTCTTAGGTCCTTATGACATTTTTTGACAATTTGCGGAACCGTAGCTCTTAGGTCCTTATATCTTTTGACAATTTGCGGACCATCCGCAAATTGTCAAAAAATATCCTAAGGACCTAAGAGCTACGGTTCCGCAGCTACTGTGATAGTACATTCTATTGTCCGTCAATTGTAATCATTCTCTTGAACAATACACCTTATCGCTATTTGGAAAGCTGTCCCGCTTGACCCGAGAATCTGTCCCGCTTGAACTTTTGACGTCATATAATAATCACTTTTCCATTGTGGCGTCAGATATTTTCTATTATGACGTCAAAATTTTACGGGAACTTTTGTGATGTCCAATAATGGCGGACAAATAGCGATAAGGTGTATACGATTATTGTTGTTCTGCTTGTATCTTTCGGTGTCAGAATGAATAAGACATTGCGATTTGTTTCGTTTGTGATTCGTAGTAATGTTATTTCTGAATATTACCAAATGCTAAGCTACTGAAACGAGTCTTTATCAAATGATCAATGTGCACGGTTATGAATGACCTCTGTGTGTTTTTTTCAGAAATTCCAACATATTCTGTACGTTTAATCAAAACAATTTTAATGTTATTTAAACATAATGACGTTAGATGAACCGACTTACCAGCCAGCATCGCATTTCGTCATCTAACATCACTTACAAAATCATTTATAAGAAATTATACCACAAAATACAAGCAATTTGTATATAAGGTATGATCCTTGATCTTACAAAGGATGAGTACATCTGAATTTAACATCATAGTACATACCTGTTTAGCAAATCAATTTTTGTTGTAGATAGCAGTACGTTTCATTCAAACCTCCAACTGATGAGTGTCGTATACGGCGTCTGTCATCAAGTGCAGTGACGTCAGTATGAAATGACGTCAAAACCACACGAGAAACAAATCAGGAAGACGTTTTAATCAATGCGACGTATTTTCGGACTTGAAGAAGTTCTTCGATTCAGAAAACATTGCTGGTAGGTTCAAATAAAAAAAAAATTGAATAAGACAAATGTGCCGTATTACAATGACTTACAGTTAGGGTTTGAGATGTAAGTCTGTGAAAAATTGAAATAAAATATGATTATGTCCAGTCCATGTAACTCCTTCTTTGTCCAAAAAAAATTACGACTTTTTTTTTTGCTGTGCCGCCTTCCTTAGACTAAGGCTTATAAAGAAAATAGGCGCATTCACAGAAAAATATTTACATTTGGACTACTCCTTTTGGTAAAAGGATTGTTTAGTCAAGTCTAGGTACGGTCCTCCTGGTAAAACGTGTGATACTGACTTAAGTCCAGTTCATGCAAGTTCTCCTGGTTATCATAACATGTACAGAAATTAATAAAACTGGGATCAAAATGTTTAATGAAATTTCTAGTATTGTCCCCAGTTTTAATTCAATGAATAAGAAAACAAATTTGATTTTATATTTTCTTGTGAAGAATGTGATATTTTACTTATCATTGTTAACAATATAAGTGAAATGTATAATGAGAGAAACAATATTATAATGTCAATATGTGAACTGTGTGTGATTGGTGGCTTAACTTATAATGTTATATATAATCATAATATTTGAATTGATAATTTTATAGAGGAGGCATGCTGTCAAAAATAGTATAATACCTAATATTAATAATCTTTATTTTTTTTCTTTCAATGCTACATGTTTGTATTGTTTAATGTCTATCGTTTTGTCATTAATATGCCTGTCTGTCTGTCTGTTTGTTTGTTTTGTTTTGGTTTTGTATTGGTTTGTTTATTTAGTAACAATCCTATTGTTTGGATTTTAAACAAATAAAATTCTTATTCTTATTCTTATTCCTGGTTGGTAAAACATGTCAAATGATTGTGTATAATGTCCACAGAGGTGGATTTAACCCTCTTAGTCCCAAATTATTATTATTTTCATACATTGAACAGTCGAAAAGCTGACCCCGGTTTGACCCCATTTCTTAAAGCAACAATGGAAGTAATGTGACTACCATATTTGGGCATTTTTTTGTGTCATTTTTTCTTCAACTGAAACGACTCAGTTTCCTCCAAAAAGTCATATCAAATGAAACCAAAGCATGCTGTACGTTACAAATGCCAATTGTGTACACTTTTTAGAAGTTCTCACATAAAAATTGTTTTGATTAAGCGTACTGAATTAGAATACGAAGCCTTCAAACCAAAGGTCGTCACTCGTCGCGTCAAGTTTTTTCAACACATCAGTTGAAATTTCTTTCTTAACTTCTGGGGAACCTATGCTGAATTCAAAATATGTGATGAGGCTTTTTATAAACTGGCCCGTGTCAAATTTGTGCCACTTAATACGCTGTAATACGCAAATGTGCCACTTCGATGTGTCGATATTTCTGACGAAGCGGTGCCGATAGTAATTTACGAGTTACGTCCCTTTGTTGACACTTTTCATGTACAAACTTATAGGTACTATCAAGCACCATATTAATATGCTGTTATTTACAAGTGGATGTTATAAAAATAATATATTATCTTTTTACTAAATATATTTTGATTTTAAAGACATATGTAAAACAATTAGGTAAACACATTTTATCATTTTTACAACAATTTCAGAACCTAAATAGGGCTTTAATATATTATTCCAAAGTAACTTTAATATTTATATTTTGGTAAATATATTTACTGCTTTAACCAAATTATATAAACACAGAAATAAATTTCTACTAAATAAAGACAAGGGGTAGCTAAAATATGCTTGAATACTTGACCTAGACAGGGTTAAAATGATCACAAACAGGAATTTTCCTTTTCAATACTGATACCTTTTTCCTAATTGATATACATTTAAGTGCCAGTCTGCCTAAGAATCAGGCAAATTCTAAAAATATCAAAACATGACATATTTCAAATATTCATCTCTTCCACAAAATATGTTACCTTTAGTCAATCAAAATAGAACTGTATAATCAAATTTTAGAAAATCAATTGCAGTATTATGTGTTAGCACTTCGAAGTTCTATATGTTTTACTATTATCCTTTGTAAATTCAGGCAATTTCAATTCGAAATAATTTTTATTACCAGAATCGTACAATCACAATGATTGCAAATATAAATACTAAGCAAATAGTAATTTCAGGTTTAAGCCTTCGTCTCGTGGGTTTTTTCGTCTGCTTGTCAAAATTCCATTCCAAAGATTCTGTTGCTTTGTTCATGTAAGAACACAATTTACAGAGTTACTTCCCCTAGCGGAACTCTTTTGATGTAAACAATACTGATGTCATGCATGTGGCAGACAATGTTGAACTGTAGTTTTTCAATCTTTTCTGACGATGAATGTGGAAATTCACAATATTCTAAGGATTAAAAGACAACACGCCAATTGGACAATGTAATAGAACTGTTGAACCACTTCCCTAGGATTAAAATATGCAAAAATCAAGTCGGAGGGACATTTGAGTTTTTACAATATTGGGATCTTTTCCCAATTACATGTACATTCATACTTTGTTTGTCTAAAACACCAACAAACCCTAGGAATATGCATGAGATTATTAGAAGGAATGTTGGTTGTGCACAACCGTCTCACAAAGGAAGGATCAAAGCCAGACAGAGCAGTGCCCATCCAGATGAACAGGGCCTTTTTTTCTCTGTTCTACAGAAACACAAGGTACACTATTTACATATATATTCAAAAGATTATTTTGGTCATACACCATTCTCCTCCCCCAGTATATATTGTATTGAAAATGGTTTAGGTTCAACATGAATATAAAAAAAAGGGGGGGCTCATTATCAGACTCATATTTTGTTTTTTGGCTGTTTTTTTCTTATAGTTTGACATGTAAGCTGGTATTTTTTTTTCATATTTTATAAAGGATGTTTAGAAAATATGGTGATATTGCCAAACATTAGCTGCGGAACCGTAGCTCTTAGGTCCTTACATGTATGTTATTTTTTTACTATTTGCGGACCATCCGCAAATAGTAAAAAAATAACATAAGGACCTAAGAGCTACGGTTCCGCAGCTAGCCAAAAATATGAGTGTGTACTAAACTGAAGGAGACCCCTGAAAAATAGATTATTACCCTTCCAAAAGAAGGTTCACATGCAATTCTTTAGCAAATGTTTAAGGTTTGATACATTATGATGCATTTAGGCCTAAAAAGATAGCACCAGTGTTTCTACAACAGCTGAAAAGAATTAGGTTAGATAGGTACATGTACATGTAGGAAAATGATTGTTTTTAAAAGTTTTTGACTGGTTTAAAAAGGGGAAATTATTTGACGCAACATAAATAGGGCTTTTTCAAAGCTTACAGAAATGTTTATACTTGGTTAGGTTATCGAAGGAACAACTATTTTTTTTTAAATAGGCCAACAAATTACAGAAATATTTTTTATTGGATGATTTATTAAACCGTACCTTATTGGCTTAATGGGAGGAATATATTGTTTTTATCGGTGCTATTAAAAAATGACAAGAAAATCTTTCCGGTGTACTGTACTGTAGGCAATTTTAATCATAGAATAAAGGTCAGTATTTTTAGTACTTCAAACACACATGTACACATTTTTGGTTTGCCTTAGGCCCATTACAATATTTATAATATTTGAATGTATAAAAAAAAATGAACCCAGTCCTTGAAACTCTAGCTCTCAGGGGTTAAAACATGCATTGTATTCTGCATAACCTGTACTTAGGGAAATGATTTTTCTCAGTTAATATTATTTGCAACTTATTAAATTGGTCTAAAGTAAGAGCTTCAAAGAAATTTGTATTGTCTTAATAAATTATATCATTCTTTCATATACATGTATATATTTTTATCAGACTTAACAAATTTGAAACTTTTTCTTCAGGATTTGCTGAATTGCAGAGGTGATTTGTAAAGACACATACCTTTAATATTTGAAAAGACTATTGCACATGTTGCACTGAAGAGGTAAAAATTATTTTAATTCAAATATTTTATATACCAGTAAATTCCAGTGATTGATTGTTTACTTCAACCTATCCCCACTGGGTCCATATTTTTAGGTGAAATATCTTTTTATACATTATTTTGTGATTTTAGAAATAGATAAGAATTGCTTTAGCTACAAGATGTTTTTTGCATCGGGATGATCCCCATCCACAACGGGACAGCTCATAGATTTCCCCGTCGGTATGCAAATGCTGATTTACAAAATCATGAAAATGATTTTTGCATATTGGTTCAGTGTTGAGCAAGTGGTGAATTCATCTTTTGATATAAGATATACATGTACATGTATATATATATATATGTTACAACAAGAACTAGGTCAACATGACCTACATTTTCTGCTGGAGCTACTTGAGTAAAATTTTGACAATGCTAAGAGTTTAGCCGAGATCACCTACACATATATTGTCAACAACATCGAGAGTTTTTTTGCATGTACAAAAATCATGCATTTCCTTTCCCTACTCAAAACATATTGGTGTTTAAAAAATTTTGATTAGGTCAAAGTTTAAGTGAAACTACTAATAATAAATAAATATTATTTGATATAAAGTTGTATTATCATTCAATTTGATGCATCTTCTATCCTTGGAGATTATTTGGCCCTGTCCCCTTACCGCAGCCCCAAGTCATGGTCTATTGATCTTGTCAATTTAGCAAAGTTTACATTTTAAAGTTTGTGATTACATGTATAGATCAGTTAACAAAGAACCACTTATGATAAGTCAGTTTTACATGTTTTATTTGAAGGAAGGAATGCCTTTTACCATCAAGCGTCAAACGGTCATTTTCGGCTACCGTTAGCGTCAAATTGGTTTAAATTGTACACCGATTCATCAAAATATCCTTATCGTGATTCGTCAGAGGCCTCAAAAAATTATTGTTACTGTTAATTTTGGAAAAAATTTAACGTGATTCGTCAAA